TATAATTGAATTGGAGTAAGCTGATAAAGATAGTTGTCGGCAATGTTGCTAAAGGGGGAAAAGCTAATCATGATAGTAATCATCATTATATATAATCTCAATAAAAATAATCATCACAATAGCTATTACGGAAATGATGCCCCTCACTTGTTTACCATTTAATTGTAAGTTAAGATGTTACCTTCGCACCTAGTTATTTCTCAATTCAGCACTTACTAACAATTGTCATATTCCTTAAAGTCGAAACATAATTATGCACAGCAGCTTGGCTGCAGAAACACGACATGAAATGAGATAGAGTTTTATTCGTAGTGAGAGATACCTAGTATATTAACCTAGTATATTATAGAATACTTTATGTATAGTTAAAGGTTAAAATTAAATTTATTCAAAAAAATAATTTAAGACTTCTTTCCATAAACAAAGGCATAAATTTTGATAAGATTAGTATAGCAAACAACGTGGGAGGAAGCCTGTTAGATTAAAAACACATTAGAATCGCTCCAGAAATTGATAAAGGTATCGGATGACAATCAAAATATTTGAAATTTGTTGACTAAAATTAAGTTGGTGTCTGCATTTATAGCGTTGAAATAAATGTGAAGCGATATTTAAAGACAATTTTTAGCGAAATATAGCGATAAAGGCTTTGAAGGTGCCGGAAATTGGACATAATTAAATTTTCACAGTGAATCGCCCGAATCGAGGTGCTTTTACGTTTCTGTTCTGACTGACATATTGATTTTCAAAGTGTTTTATAATTGCAATCACCGTTCCAATAAAGAGTTAAATTTATTAAACTAACATATGGCTTTTTTTTTATACAACTTAGAATTGCAAACAAGTTGACGGCCCACCTGATGGAAAGTGTTAACCGTCGCCTATAGACATGAGCAGTACCATGGACATAACGGAATACTGTTTCGCCCATGATACCCCCATGCGTTGCCATTCCTGAGGACTCAGGTGTTTTTCCTCTGTACCCAATAAATTCACGCCATATCCCACCCTTCAAACCGAAACACAGCTATGCAAACACAACTGCTTCACGGTTGAAACACGAATGGGACAGAGGTACCCAAGCAATCGACTTTTGTACAAAGTCTCCATCTAGTAAATTTTTCCTCTGTTCGTATTTTTATTCCTTTGGCTTTCATAAATCTATAATAAATATGAGGATGAAATGAAACGAAACGAATCGAAACGAAATGAAAATATTTTGCAAGAATGTAGGTAGTAGATTTAGATGAAAGATTTTTTTTGTCGATGGGTGAAAATGGTATGGTAGCCCCGCCTGCGCTAACGGGATACGCTGGCGGAGCACCAGTGAAGGGTGATAGATGAGAATGAAAACAGGCCAGTTAGCCCATCATGAATTAACCATGATAGTTTCCCGGGGGAACGGGACCACGAGAAGGTCGACCTGGTTGGGACTAGCAACCATTACTAATAATCCCTTTCCACCCAGATGAAAGAGGTTTACATTTCCCGTATACATTCTGCATCTATGTCGGTAGGGATGCTGAGGGACTGACTGATTGACCATATATCAAGGCACAACCGAAACCACTAAATATAGAATCTTGAAATTTTACAAGTAAGTTCTTGATATAACGTAGATAAAGAATGACAAAAGGAATTTTGAAAATTCAATCCCTATATGTACTCCAAACGGGAGTAGAAACTTCGTATGGAATTTCGTGAGTTTAGAAGTTAGACACGTTAGTTCGAAACAAAATTGGCGAGAAATCGAATACCGCACGCGAGCGAAATCGTAGACAAAAACTAGTATAATACAGTTGAATGCAATGATGTATGATCAGAGGGAGGCTTTGTACAAAAGTCGATTGCTTGGGTACCTCTGTCCCATTCGTGTTTCAACCGCGAAGCAGTTGTGTTTGCATGTTTCAGTTTGAAGGGTGGGATATGGCGTGAACTTACAGGGTACAGAGGAATAACGCCTGAGTCCTCAGGAATGGCAACGCATGGGGGGTACCATGGGCGAAACAGTATACTCTGTTATGTCCATGGTACTGCTCATGTCTATATGCGACGGTTACCACTTTCCATCAGGTGGACTGTCAGCTTGTTTGCAATTCTAAGTTGTATAAAAAAACCTGACATTAGTAAAGAAATTACTTGTAATAATTAATATATTCTGAATACACCGTCCTATTTAATTTGTTACTTGACTCTAATTTTACGTCCATATCCTGATTTGATGCCCATGGTATCATGATATGCCGTTTGGTAGATTAGTAAAACTTACGAAATTCAAGTTTAAAAAGCAATAGTTTCAACAAACTTCAAGAAAGGAGGTAATTCCCAATACCGTCAATTATAAAACAACTTATAAAAATCTGTTTAATCAGAAATGATACACGTTTATATTGGTTCTATAGACATTTTGTTAAAAACGCTTTAATAATTTTTTTTTATCTAATTAATTGATTTTCCCTTGATTGAATTTTGTTTTTATTTTTAATATAATATAATATAATTGTAAATTATATTGCGAATTTTTACACTCAGAAAAATTTGTCATCGTAAAAATCCAATTGATTTAAAAGGCCTTAAAAATAAACTATTACTTATAAAAAAATATTCAGATTATTGTAAAATTTTGAATTTCACTACTTTACAATCTTTTTGTTTATTTAACAGTTAGTTTTTATTATACTCATCAAATGACTGCTATCGTCTAGATAATCGAAAACCAAAGTCAATTTGGAAATTGTCAGTAAAATTTTATATAAACTGATTGATCCCTTGAAATTAGTCAGTCTCCTTTGACCTTTTAATCGAGAACTATATTGTTAAAAGATCCCGCCGGGATAAGATTGGATGGGTCTGTCGCAAACATAAAATCTATCTAGAATACAATTTATTTTTTTTATACAACTTAGAATGGCAAATAAGCTGACGACCCACCTGATGGAAAGTGGTAACCGTCGCCTATAGACATGAGCAGTAGCATGAACATAACAGAGTATACTGTTTCGCCCATGATACCCCCCATGCGTTGCCATTCCTGAGGACTCATATGTTATTCTTCTGTACCCTGTAAAGTCACGCCATATCGCACCCTTCAAACCGAAACACAGCCATGCAAACACAACTGCTTCACAGTAGAAACACGAATGGGACAGAGGTGCTCAAGCAAACGACTTTTGTACAAAGTCTCCCTCTGGTAAATATATAATTGATGGCGGTAAAATGTATCCTATGTTCTTCTCCATTCCAAATACTAAATATCAAGATGTAATAAACAAGCTTGCATACAAAACAACACAACAAACTTTCACATCGAGTAAGGGCGATGTATGCTAGTCCTAGTTTATAAGTGTTCAAACTAAATATTTCCATAGGTGCTTCTGACTTATCTCTGTGTTTCTATCACCAAGCAACCTACATACACTCTGGTTTATGGTTGAAAATCTTCACATTATCAAGATCAGTGAAACAGGCGAGACAGTTTTTGAATTATAGGCATAAAAAAAATATGTAAAAATGGAATTTTCATATGTTATTATGTGTTTCAGGATGGTCTCATAACAAATATGATTTGCTTATTAAACACAACACAACTGATCTGCTATAAAACGATTTACGATTATTTTCAGAAAAACTAATAGCCAGTGTAACCCTGGATCATTTAGGGATTCTAGTGACATCCTATACACCTGCAATAGATTAAAAAAAAAGATTTAAAAGTGCTCGTGAACAAGTCTATTTGAATTAAAATAATTTGAATTTGAAATTACATCAAAATTTGCAACGACATTTAGAAGTTATGGTAGAATAAAGAAATAGATACACAAATACAAGAATTACTCTGATTTTTTTGGGGCATTCGTTTAAAGATATTTAGCTCCGCCATTTATTTCATCAAATGCAACCTTGAGCTCTTCTGTTCTCAATTCTTAAAGTTCGCAGGACGTCACTGCGTGACGGATGCCCCTCAGCCCGGTAGGAATTTAAATTTGCGCGATTGAAAATTGATCACTCCCGCGGAACAATCATGCTTATTCTCTGAAAGTTGAGCTCGAATCTTTACGCAGGGAACTTGGAAACTTAATCTGATGTAAATGGATTGGTTGTTAACTTGCTCAGTTTTGGAGTATTGGTATTAAATATTAAAAATTCTATTATTTCAATTTCTATTGAATAGACATTATTCGTAGTTGAAATATGGAGATTTTAAAGTGATCATAAATTAGTCTTTAAATTATTATAGTGTGAAGTTACATTTTCGATTCAATTTGTGTCCTACGATTATTTCCATTTATTTGTATTTAGAATTTAAATTTTTTAATTCCTTTCCATTCGTCCAGTTTTTATTTTCATCAATAACACCTAATTTTTGATTCAACAAAATCTAGTACATCCTTTAAGTTGATCTTGTCTCCAGTTCGAGTCCTTTAGTTACATTAACTTTGCGTATATTGAGTTTGCAAAATTCAACACGTATTCAAAAAATATATTTATATTGATATTATGATATCAGCCGTTAAATGCCCACCACAGAACATAGCAACATTGCTTCTTTTAAAACACCAATTCTGCTGAGCGTGGCAATTACTGGCAAAACCCTCCTTATGGGGGAGGCCCAAAATATATACATATTCAAAACAATATTAATATATCTTCAAGAAATATAACCAAAATCGAAACTACTCAAGCACTTGTTGCTTATAACTAGTCACAAATATAGTTCAAAATAAAACCAAACGTAGACCAGAAGGTAATACAAATAGATATAAATGACTTAAGCATGAAACGTAGATATTGGCTCCTTTACCGGTATCTCAATTTTACAATAACACTAAAGTGATGTGTCATCCCGTCATAAGGGTATCAATAGGTTTCATTAACGACCATCTCACTATTGCAAACGAAATGTACCTATAGGTAAGGGTGAAACCACATTAGGTTGCTTAGTTGCATGCGCGCGCATCCAAATGGACCTCGTGTAGACGAGGCAAGCGGCAGTGTCCGCGAGCCGTCCGGCCGCGCCGCACTATTCTATCTCACTAACGAGCGACAACCCTACAGATTCGACTTTCCTACGTGAATATTGTTCAAGTGAAAAAGTAAAAAAACTTTGTGACTTTAAATAGTGGGTTTTTTCTTTAAATTTAAAAACGAATCTCGGTGTTATTGGTTTATTCGGTTAAGAGAAAATATTAGATTTAATTATAGTTGTATATATTGAATTAAGTGACATAAAATATCGAAAATTCTAAGATAATTTCCGTTGATCTTACAGTTTTAACACTTAAATTTTTTATTGTAAAGTGTACATATATAAAATAGTTGTTAAATATTTAATTTTATATGTATAAAAAAGGGACATACGTATAAGTTAAGTTCGGATAATATGCTAGTGTTGTGACGTACATTGCAATAGTGACTAATGACTTTGAAAAACTCGCGGGAGATCTTTTTCCCCGGATTTGGATCAACGCTGGCTCTCGGCCAGGTCGTGTGCAAGCGAAATTAACTCTTATGTAAGTGGAATATTGAATAAATTTATATATGGGCTATAATCACCCCCATTTATTACAGGGCGATGACATTATGAATGTTTGATGGCTTTCCCGTCAAAGTACGTATTTCCTCGAACTGGGCTCATATCTGTCTTTGTAATGATTAGCCGAACATTTTTCATGATATTGTTTTCATATCCTACTAATATGATAAATTCAATTGGGGGAAAGGGATTGTTAGTAATGGAGACTGAGAATGCCATTGCTAGCAATATACCCAACCAGGTCGACCTCCACGCGGTTCCCCCCGGAAACTATCATGGTTAATTCCTGATGAATTCATAATGATGGGCTAACTGGCCTGTTTTCATTCTAATCTATCACCCTTCACTGGTGCTCCGCCAGCGTATCCCATTAGCGCAGGCGGGGTTACCATACCATTTTCACCCATCAAAATATGATAAATTGTAACTGGATTATGTCTGCACATGGGATATCATCATCATCATCATCATATCAGCCTTTAACTATCCACTACTAAATATAAGTCTACCCCTTGGAAGGTTTTGGGAATAGTTGCCGCACTTGGCAGACGGATTGACAATCGCAGTTAGACTTTGGAGATGTAAGAGGGACGCTGCTGTTCATCCTTCGCCTTCCCTCAGTCGCCTCTTACAACACCCACGAGAAAGGAAGGGGTGGCCTATTCTATCACGGCACATGGGATATATTTAAGAAAAAAAATTAATGAGAGATCTTAATAAGACCAATAGAGGTCGAGACAATAATTTTTAGAAATTTTGTCAGTATATTTGTTCAAGCTTTGCATAAAAACTGCTAGACCAAATTAGGTGCAAATTTCATAGTTGTATTCCTAAAAGTTTAATTTAAAATCTGATATATGCTTTATCTTAATATCACATTTGGAAATAATATATTTTATCGCTTTTCCTACTTGTAAAATATGCGTATATTTTACAAGTATGAAGTAGCGAGCGAAAAAATAGTATAAATATAATACTTAAATTAAAGTACGATTTATATAGTACGAATGAAATAGCTACATATTATTAAAAAAAAATACGTAATTATTAAATAATTGGCGCTGAAACTTAATTCAAAATGTACATATAAACATATTTGAAACTTTAACTGTATAATTTTGGAGGTAAATGGATAAAAAACGATAGTCGCTCTGTGTTTATGGCTAAATTAAAATGTTGATGTACCTCGCCATTGCATTATATTTATTTATAATTTAAAATAATTTCAATACAATTCCCATTATTTATATTATGTTATTATTCATATTGTTAATATTTTTACTTGTATAATGACATTTAATAATTTAATTCCATTTTAATGTTTGTCAAACACAAGGCGTGCTGTGGTTGCCTATAAATATAAGAACAGTAAGATCTAATCTACCAGTGTATTGTACTAAAATGTTTAGCTGTATCTTATGTTGGTAATCCTATAAATAAATAAATAAATAAATAAAAACGAGAAAATTATGAAACGAGTACTAAATAACGAGGTAAAATCCACGAATAGTGTGAGTAAAAATGAACAAATAAAAAATAAATTATTTATTAGCGTAAAGTTTTATTCTGTCGACGTAGTAATTTCTTTACGATTGTATTTATACGTATTATCTATTTGTATGATGTTTATTTATTTGTACGTAAGTAGACGCATTACAAAGTGAAAGATTGCATATACAGGGCATACATTAATGAACGAATGAATGATGTATTTGTGCAATATCACAATGCTGTGATAATTTATTACTAGTTGACTAGTTCATTGGTATGTAGTTATATAGGTGCAAGCGAAGCAAGAGATAGCAGAAACAGGTGATGATATTAATGATTGAATGAATAAATGAATTATTTATTAGTGAAATATAATAATAATGAGATAATTACTAGAACATAGTGTTCCTGCACGTTACGAAGTAACAGCATACGCCGGTGAATGAATTAATAATGGAATGAAATTAATAATTCATTTGAAATATATTTTGTCACTTTTTTATGCAATTTAGAATGGCAAACAAGCTGACGGCCCACCTGATGGTAAATAATAACCGTCGCCTATAGATATGAGCAGTAGTATGGACATAACAGAGTATACTGTTCCACCCATGATACCCCCCATGTGTTGCCATTCCTAAGGACTCAAGTGTTATTTCTCTGTACTCTGTGAATTCACTGCCATATCCCAGCTTTTAAACTTAAACACGTCCATGCAGACACAACTGCTTCACAGTTGAAACACGTTTGGGACAGAGGTGCCCAAGTAAACGACTTTTGTACAAAGTCTCCCTCTGGTAAATATAAATTACTACGACAAATTGATCACTACTTAGGTTATTTATTTACATAGGTATATAGAAGTTGCCGTGTGATCCCGGCATAGATTAGGCCCTTCCTTTCTCACGTGTGTCTTAAGAGGCGACTATGGAAGGGCGAGGGATGGGCAGCAGCGATTCTCTTAAAACATCTCCAAAGTCTAATTGCGGTAGCCAATACGCCTGCCAAGCGTAACAGTTACTGGAAAAACCCACTAAGGGGAGGCTTATGCCCAACAGTGGACAGTTGAAGGCTGAAGATATAGAAGTAGTTAGGACGAGCAATACCGGAGATATCACCATCCGTTATAAAACCTTATGAAATGGAGATCTTATAGTCACAGTATCCATTTCATTGCAAAATGCTATTTGCCAAACTGCAACTCAGTATGCAAGCAAGCTGCTTGCCAACTGAAATAGGGGAGAAAGACGTACCTACACATACAAATGACTTTGCTAACTCTCTGTGCGCTCGCGCGCCATCTGCATTTCAGAACAATTTTATACCTATCATAAATTTAAATATAAAAAATGATTAGAAGACTGTCATCATTGTGTTCTCTTTTATTTGATATCTATATGTTGTATTTAACATATGTATATGTATATATATTCTTATTTATGTAGGTTTATATTCATATATACTATGTATTAATATTGTATCTTTCAAATATATATATAAATTTTATATCATAATTTGGAAATAGGACAACTAATTAAATAGACTTCTAAACGTCATATCAAGACAAAACGTATAGTTGATTTTAAGTCCAACATTGGTCAACATTCAGGAATATAATAAAGAATATGCTTACAAATATGTGCACAAATTTTATTGGGCGATAGAATGAAACAATCATGTAGAAAGAGAGACAGACAAAAAAAAATATTTCCTCTATTGCTCCTATTCCCTTCATATCAATTTCTCTTAATACAAATGTCATCAAATTATATTTTATTATATTTACGTAGAGTTAAATCTCACACTCATTCAATTAGATTGCTTTAACGACGGTCCTGAGCCACCTGCATCCACTGACTAACTGTAATGCATTCAAATTCGTCACTCCATCATTTGCTATTCAAAAATCTTTCTTACCTATCGGCTGTCGATTCTTCGAGCTATGTGACCAGTCCATTGCCATTTCAGCTTACTTATCCTTCAGGCTATATCGGTCAATTTGGTTCTTCTACATCCATTAACTACCATCACAGAATTACGATTAACAAAATTAACATTTTCAAGTACCAGTGATTTTTTTTTATACAACTCAGAATGGCATACAAGCTGACGGCCCACCTGATGGAAAGTGGTAACCGTCGCCTATAGACATGAGCAGTACCATGGACATAACAGAGAACACTGTTTCGCCCATGATACCCGCCATGAGTTGCCATTCCTGAGGACTCAGGTGTTATTCCTCTGTACCCTGTAAATTCACGCCATATCGCAACCTTCAAACCGAAACACAGCCATGCAAACACAACTGCTTCACGGTAGAAACACGAATGGGACAGAGAAAACATATTACAATATCATATACTCTCTTTCCAATAAATAATTATTTTTACACTTTATTTAATTAAACATTATTTCTGTCTGGTTTCTGATATACAATACTTCGTCTTCAACGTATTAAAATTTAAACGGCCATATGAAGCGTGTAATCTCTAATTGGCCAGAAACATATTACATTTTCAATAATATTCCGAGCCTCTTCATAAACCTTATCGTACGAATATTTCTGTTTGTTTTTCTAAAGTCAACAACGTTCCTCAAAGGGTGGGTTTAATTATGTTTGTAATAGTTATCCGTCGAATATTGAACGATTTACGCTGGATACCAACCGTAATTCTGGATGACTGAAGGGAGGGCCAAATGGTAACTAAATTATAGGTTAACAGGTGTAATTATTTAATCACATGGAAGTCATTTTATCGCAATAACTTAGCAGGATTAAGTATATGATTAAGTTACATACATACATACATATCTGTCACCGCCTGTCTCCCATTAGGGTAGGCAGAAACAATGGAACGCCAAATGCTTCGATTCAAACAGACCTCTTTCGCTTGATGATTCAGTTACATCGCCAAATGTAATTATGTATTTATACATTATTATTATGCTTTAAAAAAAATTATGCGACATTAATTCTAAAAAAAACATGTTAAAAAAATAAATTAAAATTGTTAGATAAGTTTAAATTCAATTATTATGATTATAATGATTTAATTGAAATCGGAATTGTATGACTACAAATAAATCTTGGTCTGCAGGATTTTAGTTTTCATAAAAATTCGAAAAATAATCTTCACCTTTTTGAAGTCGCTTCGCTTATCAAATAAATACCCATCTTGGAGATGCTTAGTTATTTTTTCATTTAATCTAAATTAAATAAACTGATAAACTGTGTACGGTCGAACGCAAAAAGTTCGCTTTTAATAGAAATCTGTAAGTATCACCCGTTAACTGTCCACTGCTAAATATAGACCTCCCCTTTTTTTTATACCACTGAGGTGGCAAACAAGCATACGGCCCACCTGATGGTAAGTAGTTACCGTAGCCTATGAACACCTGCAATACCAGAGGTATTACGCGTGCGTTGCCGACCCTGAAGAAACCTCTTTACCCCCCTTTTGAAGAACCCCATGCTGTTGTCTCTTG